CGGTTCTTCGACTTTCATGGTGTATTGATTAAGGGATGTTGAGGAGGCATTCGATGAGTTCACCGAGTAGATGGACGGTGTGAAAGACGGATGATGATGATGAGACATTTTTGGATGCTATCTTTTGTAAAAATACGCAATAAGAAATTTATGAGTTTATATATAGGTGATTAATTTATCATTATGTACTGTGTGGTTCGTGAACGAATGAATGCAAATTTCTCTCGAACACAAATAAATACTGTATGTATTATGTACTGGTGTATGCAAGATAGCTGCGATGATATTGCGTGTAAGCAAATATCCTATGTCCGTACATCACACGTACGTACACACGCTTTTTATGTGAAAGAAAGAGTCACGAAGTAACAATTTCAAATTTTTCTGGTGGATGTATAGTGCTGACCTTATTGGCCAGTCGATCATTATCGCACTTATGCGGAAAACAATTTCAGGTACAGTATTGTACATGCACGAACGTTACCGTAAGTAAGCACTTGGTCATTTGGGTATACATGTGCCACCATGTATTTCCCCATTTATACCTCGAGAAGAATAAAAATAGTCAAGTGATTATCTTGATAACTTAAATATCTACATTAACGGGTATTATTACGTTACACGAACTTTTTTTATTTAATTATCAAATTTGTCTCGTAGAAGCTTTTAACCATGGCTTCGTATCCGCGGGTCAAACGACAAATTACTGTCGAACGGTGTGAAAAACTTTTATCTGAACATTTCTTTACCGACTTAAATCTACGTTCTTCACTTTATCAAAAATGCACGAATTCGGAAAAGTATGTTCAACTGTCCGTGTACAAGGTTCCGGACCTTAAGCGCATTAGCTTTGAGGAGGCTGTGAAAGGAACTTACAAACCCGCAAAACGCGGGGACTCATTTGGTCCAAGTTGGGTTGGTGGTTTCCGCATATAATTCAATCAATCGAACAAATAAATTCTTTTTTTTTCGTTCGAATATTAATTTCAAATTTATTCGTAGTCCACGCATTGGTTTCATATTCATGTTACGGTGCCCGATGATTGGAAGCATGATGAAGTGCAGTTCATATGGGATGCGAATAATGAAGGAATGATCTGGAGCACCGAAGGTGTTCCCATTCAAGGGCTTACCGGTGGCGGTGGGTTTTTGGTCTTGAAACTCAAATTGATTTGGCGGTCAAGATTTTAATCTTCGCTAACTTAGGAGGTGACACCCGCCGAGTTGAATACATCCTCACGCGTCAATCCAAGGGTGGTGAGAAATTCGAATTCTATCTTGAGATGGCTTGCAATGGTAATCTCGGAATTCTATTCGATACGTTCTATTTGTCACGCGATCCTTTCGCTAATCACAATGCGTTACAGAATTGTTTGGCAATGGATCCAATGGGCTAATCAATCCCCCGGATCCGGACAAATATTACACCCTTAAGCAAGTTGAATTGGCCGTTCCAAACCATAGAGCTTGGAGATTGTTTCACGACTTTGAAATCATTCTCGAGATGGCTAAATCCATTCCAGATAATACGATGAGGTCGGCTCAAGCTCTTCACACCGCGAATCATATCGTCAACGTTTTTCGTTCGGACGATGAAAATTCCATTGATGAGGCACTCGAGATTTCTCGTGAGTTTTTAAGTCACAAAAATGGCGGCGGCACGCATCTTAGGGTGACGGCCATTGGAAATTGTCACATCGATACAGCTTGGTTATGGTGTGTGTCAAAAAATAAATAAATATGTGAACTTTGATATTATGGAGATCAATATAATCACGATTGTCCTCTACACCTTAGGCCATTTGATGAGACTAAGAGAAAGGTGGCAAGAAGCTGGTCGACACAGGTTGGATTAATGGAGATTTACCCGGAATACAAGTTTGCTTGCTCTCAAGCACAGCAGTTTGAATGGTTACAAACTTATTATCCTGCGCTATTCAAAAAAATCAAAGAGAAATCTGCAGACGGGCAATTCTTACCTATAGGTGGGGTAAGTGAAGTCGGTCGGTCGGTCAGTTCTGTCTCTGTTGAGAGCATCATCTAATAATACACTGGACATTTGCTTTCGTAGACTTGGGTCGAGATGGATTGTAACATCCCCAGCGGGGAGTCATTCTGTCGACAATTTTTATTCGGGTAATGAATCCGGCTTGTTTTTGTTTCGATTTATTCTAGGCTGATTTGTTTACGGACAAGTTACGTTTAATAGGCAACGTTTCTTCGAACAGAATTTTGGTCATAGATGCAAAGTATTCTGGCTCCCAGATACTTTTGGGTATTCTGCGCAATTGCCACAGATTATCAGGGGTGCTGGCTTGAAGTACTTTTTCACACAAAAACTCTCGTGGAATAACATTAACTCAGTATGCCTCACATGATATTTCCGATAGTTATTACGCTTCTTTTTTCTAAATCCTTTTTTTAAAAAAAAAAAGTTCCCGAACACCACCTTTTATTGGATCGGACTCGACGGCAGCAAGGTAATCATCATTGACCTCACAACATCGCCGTCATATCGAGATATTTAATAAAAAGCATTTTTTGATTATACAGGTCTTGACGCATATGTGTCCCGCCGAAACGTGAACATCCATTTTTCTGCTTGACATGTTGAATGAATGATTTGCATCGTTGAATTAAATATTTATCCATATTTCGATTACTTGAACAGATACGTGGCCCAATGTAGACCCGGAGAGCTCATCCGCAGCGTCGAAAACCACAAAGACAAGGAATTCAGTGATGAAGCTCTGCTTCTATTTGGTAACGGAGATGGCGGCGGCGGACCACTTGCATCAATGCTCGAACGGCTTCACCGATTGAAAGACATTGTAATCAATTACTCTCCAATTCCGTTTGGTGCTTTCTGACCTAACCCACGTAATCCAAAATAAATTTTTAATTTGAATTATAGGACGGCCTTCCAAAAGTTGAAATAGGTTCGGTCGATGATTTTTATGAGAGGGTTGAGAGAAATTCTTCCGAGCTAGTCTCCTGGAAGGGGGAACTTGTGTGTACTTTAATGAATCACATCTTTATTTCTTCACTTGTACTAATCTTGGAAATTTCAAACGTGTTAGTATTTCGAGCTTCACAGAGGCACATACACATCGCAGGGAAAGATTAAACGGTATAATCGAAAGTCCGAGTTGTTGCTGCGAGATGTGGAATTGTTGTCAACCTTTGCTTCTCAAAGTGACCAAAAAAATTGCGAGTCAGTGAGATTATCCCTACTTGTCATCCGGTCTGTCGATCATGTTAGATCTAACTTGGCTCGATTTTTTTTATAGTTATCCAAAGGATACATTGGATGGATTATGGAAATATGTTTTATTGTCAGTACTGATTTCTTTGCCCGTCGTGAGTTGTGCGTGGCCTTCTTTAGTTAACATCATTTATTTTCTACAGAAATCAATTCCACGATGTTTTACCGGGCTCTTCCATTGAATCGGTTTATGTCGATGCATACAAGGTGAAGAGAAAATAAATAATTTTTCTGTTCAAATTTGCTTATTTTTTTGTAGTGTGAACTGACTTCAAAATTTGACGACTTTACGCCTCAGTTTTACGAAGAGGTTGAAAGGAAAGGTATGGATGATTAATATGATAGCTTGCGATACTAGATAATTGGAAAATATTATGGAATCATTATATTCGTATGTTCTCTCAGGTATTGAACTTCGAGAAAGGGCTCTTGGAACATTATTCAAATCATCTGCATCTTCTCCGGATACCGAGGAAGGTTCGTCATTTTATTACGGAGTTGACATATTTATTTGTACGTACTTAATTACACATTCGAATATCTTGACAGGGTTACTCGTTTTCAATACGCTCGGATGGGATAGGACGGAAGTTGTTGAAGTTCCGGTTTCTTCCGGATTGGGTTCCTTTACTCAATACGCCGTGGATAAAAAGTCCGGTTATGTCCTTGGTAAACATTTATTTATCAAGCAAGCATTTGTTATTACGTGCGCGATTGTATTACTGATCCCCTTGGGTTACAGTTAAGGATACTGTTAGCTTGGGCATTCAAAGCGTAGACGTTGGAACAAGCGATATCGGTGATATCTCTCCTGCAACTGGTGAGCTTTGTTGATCCTCTTTAGAAACACGCTTTTCATTGTGAGATATATACTAAATCTACCTTGTTGGTTGACTTAGTTACCTCGGTGGGGCATGATTTTTATCTCTTGGAGAACCAATTCGTCAAAGCTACTTTCGACAAGCACGGTCGTTTGACAAGTCTCATCGATAAAATAAAAGAGTATGTATTTAGCCATTTCGCCAGACCTCGATTTTATAATTGAATTTGTCTAATATGTAAATATATACACACTATTCAGTCGGGAAATTGTTCCCCCTGGTCAATTTGGAAATGCATTCAAAATTTATGAAGACATTGTGAGTTATCAAATTTCACGCGCTTTCAATTAATTTTTATCATTTTGACTTTTTCTAAATTATATCTCTTTCCTTGTTCGACAAAGCCACTTTTCTGGGATGGTATGATTCAATTATATGATTTTTTTTATTTTCTTGTTTAAGGTCAATCCCACTTCTCTAATCTAATTGGATGAATTAATGCAGCTTGGGATGGTATGTTCTAAGGTTTGATTGTGTAGGTGCATTTTGAATCTTCCAGTGACATATTTTCTCGAATTTCAGTGGAAATCTATCATCTCCAGAAAGGACGTGATGCTGGTCTCGGTGGAACAGTAAAGGTGAACTTTTTAATTCAGATGTGCGCACTTTTTTTTTTTATGTGCTTGTTAAAAATCAACCTCATCGATACCACGGTTTAAGATTTACGATAATGGGCCACTCCGTGCTTCGTTGATCCTGGAGACAAAACTGAGCAAGAAAAGTTCATTGCGCCAAATCATTTCTTTGTCAGTTTTCTCTCAAAGACTAGATTTTGAGACGGTGGTTAATTGGGATGAAAACCGACAATTTTTGGTAAGTTTAATTTGCTTTTTTGAATTCTCATGATATCGGTTCTAATTTTTTTTTTTTTTTAATGTATATATAGAAAGTGGAATTTCCATTTGACATTAATTGTGATTATGTAAGAATATATATGTGTATGTGTCTAATTTACCTCTTGAGAGGAAAATATTGATTTCGATGATTTCAGGCCACATACGAAACTCAATTTGGTTTTATCCAAAGACCAACCCATTATAACACTTCCTGGGATTCTGCAAAATTTGAAGTGTGTGGGCATAAGTTTGCTGATTTGTCGGAGTATGGTTATGGTGTGGCTTTGTTGAACGATTGTAAGTACGGTTACGCCACTCACGGAAATGTAATGCGCTTATCCCTCCTAAGATCACCAAAGGTTTGAACTATGTTCCTTATAATTTATCGACATCCGAATTATGATCCGCATCTTTTCTCATCGTATCCTCGTGTCATTTTCTTTAGGCGCCCGATGAACATTGTGATATTGGTACTCATGAGTTCAAATATGCAATTTACCCACATTCTGGTTCCTTTTTGGAATCAAACGTTGTTCGAGAGGCTTATCAATTCAACGTGCCATTGCTTGTGAGGTTTGTGCATGCCGAATAATTGTAATTCCATCAGCTCTTTATTATTAACCAACCCTCACATTTACGATAAAATAGGTCCACACCTAAAGAATTTACCCAATCGTATAAACCGAGATCCTACTTCTCTGTCGAAAACGCGCCAAATGTCATCCTTGATACTGTAAAACGTGCCGAGGATTCAGATGAAATCATTCTTCGATTGTACGAAGCTTACGGTGGCCACGCCACGGCTAGATTACGAAGGTATGGACCTATTTTTTAAATTGTTCTTTTGTAGTAAAAGGCGCGTTAATCTTTTATTCTTTACGCAGCTCACTTTCGGTGGAGAGTATTTTTGAAACGAACATCATGGAGGATGAACAAAATCCTATTGAATATGACATTTTAGGTGGCGCCAAGATTAAATTTAAACCATTCCAACTAATTACGTTAAAGGTGGTTTTAAGGTGAGCCCTCGGGATAAGCGTTTATCCGCCATAGATAGATGTAAACTGTGATGTCAAAATTCAAGATAAATTGTAATCATTAAGTACGCCAATGATTTTTAATGTATTATAGAAAGAAAAAAAAACTTAATAAAATTTTGAATATATATGGTTTTTGGAAAAAGTAAAACGAGCTAATTGGATTGATCTAATTAAAATTCTCTTTATATTTATTTCTCAGGGAAAAAGAATGGACTCTACTTTAACTTTGCTTAACGGCAAATTACACCTGCATTTATTTATACGTTTAATCTCTAAACACGAGCAAATATCGGGAATTTGTAATTAGTATATAATTATTAATAAAATAACGAAAATTGTATTTTAACTATCTACATGTACAATTTGTATATTATTTAAAGACTAGTAATTGAATTAAATATTATACGGCATTGTCATATAATGCTATACTCTAGCGAAAAGCCAAAAATGAATAATTACAAATAATAAGTTAAAATTTTTGTTGATAATTTAATAAACACTTATTATTAACATTATATTTGAAATTTCACTATATATAGTAATTTTTCATTTTTCATAATATATACTATACATTGTATAAAATATTATATGCATCGTATAAACAAAAATATTGCATATTATAAATTTATTATTATACAAAAATATACAGTATATATTAATATAATTAGAAAATTCAATATATTCTTAATTACGTTTTGAATAGACAGTCTGTTACAAAAGTCTTTGAACTAACATTTACTTGTTAATGTTATTTATAAATCAACAATCAATTGATAAGATATAATAAAAATCCAAATACTGTATATATATATATTTAAAATTTAAAAAATAAGATTACTTAAAAATTTAAATATATTATAATGATATCATTAAGTTTATAATTTATAAAAAATTGATGAAATTATATTAATATATAAATTTGTTAAGTAAAGTAAAAAGAATCAAAAAATTTAAAATTATAATAAATTTATAAAATCTTATAATAAAATCTATTACGTATTTAAAAATGTTTAAAAATGTTTGAAATGTAATTTTGTAAAATAAAAAATTTATTAATTCTATAAAATTACATATATATACTGTATATTATAAAAAATCTTTAATAAAATTTTTCTAATTTTAGAATTAATTTTAATTTTAAATTTTTTAAAAATTTTAATAATAAAATATTGTAATTTTAAAGTTATATATAAAATCTAATCAAAATTTATTTATTTGTTATTTATTTAAACCAATATTTTTATAATAAAACTATTAATGAAATTTGAATATTTTTATTATTAAAATATAAAAAATATATATATACTTTATATTTAAGATTTATATAAATTAAATAATTATTTATTAAAAAATATTGATTTAAAAACTTTTATAACAGATTATATATATATTGTTTTTTTTTTCTTAACAATTTTGATTTATAATATGTACCTGTAAAAGTGATTTATAGGTTATAATCTTATCAAAAGATTTAGAATCTTAATTTTGTCTAATAAATAATAATTTACTAAACAAGTTTATATATATTTAAGTCTAGATTTTTTTTTTACAATATTAAAATATTAAACATCTGTGTTATTCTATTGGTCACATGCAATAGCAAAAAGTGGAATTCTTCATGTGAAAAATTGTTTTTATAAATACATTTTTTTAAAAAAAAATTTCTGTCACACTCAGAACACTAAATTACTTAAAAAAACATGATTTCTTAATTCAGCTTTTGTAAAACCATACCGGAATTACTACACTCTGTAGTTCTAATAACGAACATTTTTCGTATATCATTGTTTGCTTCGAAAACTTTTAAAAAATGTATTTCTCAGACAATAACACCTGTCAGGATGACGATGATAATCTCCTGGACCCAATTTCTACTGATCCTCCGCCTTTTCTCTTTGAACGTCGCGAACACATAGTCAAACCCAAAAACATGGACACGTCCCATAGGAACGAAGGTCGACCAATACAAACTAATAAGTTCTATACAAACATGATGCTTGATGGCGAACAAAATCCCATTTGGACCATCCCGTATGGATTAAGATGGGAACGAGGACAGATAAGAGGATTTATGGGTTTGAGTGTTTCTCATGCTGACAATGGAAACAAGGTAATTATGTTTGAGCAGAAAATAAACATGTTTTTCTTGAATATCAACGAAATGCGAATTCCTCCAACCATCGAAGGTATTCGGTCCCGACCCCAACATTCGACCAATCAAGTTTTACATTAATTCCTATGTTTCCAGCCTAATATTCTCTGCCGCAGAACTCGACAAAGATCACAAAATGACTTTAACCGAAATGTCCGAATTCCACACCAACATCAACATATTTCCTTCCAGCGGATCAGTCGATGGATCACATATAACTGTCTTCGCATCTCGTGGAATGTCATTTATCACTGCTGAATATAAGAACCTTACACCAATATTCAATTCCGAGTTTGATTTCAAGCAAGTCAATCCACCACAAAAATTGTCAAATGGGTGGATCAAATATAAAATTTTACTTGAAGGAGACATGACATGGTTATTGTATGCTAGCGGTGCAAGTTTAAGGCTGAAAGCGCGACCGACACATCGACTTGAATCAACGGGTGAGAAATATTCCGGAATCATACAGGTAGCTAAAGTGCCGAAGGATAATCCGCATGTTGAAAAATTGTATGACGAAAATTTTGGAACGTGGCCGATGGGTGCAGACTTAATTGTTAAGAGTGATGGGTGAGTGATATGAGTCGAGATACTATATTTTAACCAAGGACTAGAATCTAACCTTGCGACCCCGCAAAGTACCTACATATTTAAATGGAAAAGCGGTGGCAACTCCTCGAAATCTTTGCTATTATTCTCTTTACCACATCATCGAGAGTCATTCTCTCCTGCTCCCCGATCCACGGATCTTCAGCTTTCCACCACAACGAAAGGACTTGCAAAAGCTTATCTCGGAAACTCGTGGATATTTCGCGAGTCGGAACTCGATGTTGAATTCTTACCCAAAGATTTTGCTACGAGACTAACGTTAGAAAAGAGGAATGTGATATTGGAACAGGCCAAAAAGGATTTGGCTGTGGACTTTGTGGAAGAGACTACTACCGACTCAGTTTATTTCTCGGGAAAAAGATTAGCTAAAATGGGATGGGTTTGTTTGTTGTTGAACAAGGTATTCGGTGAGAAGCAAGAACTGAGAAAGGAGTGTATTGAAAAATTGAAGGTGTGTATTATGTCGAAGAGTATTCCTTTTTACGCGTCGCATTCTCTGTGATACATTACGCGATGAAAATAATAGAGAGTCATGGATATTTATGCTCGGAACCTGCAACAAGCCAAACTCGTGTACGAAACCACTTGGAAAGGTATAGTCGCCATAAGTGGTTTTACCATAGGACCCGGAGCAGATTTTGGAAATAGTTGGTACAAGTACGTCTTTAGATTATTTTTTTTCATTGGTAAACATCGCCGCGTGGGTATTATACAGTAATCGTTTGTTTCATATTTCATAGCGATCATCATTATCATTATGGCTACCTGATCCTTGCCGCTTCAATCCTCAGTCACCTCGACGAATCTTGGGGCATTACAAACGATCCCTGGATCATGGCTCTCGTCCGTGACGTAGCAAATCCCTCCGCTATCGATCCCCACTTCCCTGTGTTTCGCGCATTCGATTGGTATGTTGGTCACTCTTGGTCTAAAGGCATATTCCCATCGGCTGACGGAAAGGATGAAGAGTCCACCAGTGAAGATGTGAATTTTTATTACTCCATGAAACTCTATGGCTTGTCATCGAAACGGAAGAAAATAACCAAGTTGGCAAACATAATGCTCGCAATACTACGACGGTCGATAAGGAACTATTTTTTGATGGAAGACGGTAACCAGAATCATCCACCTCAATTTTCGGGAAACAAGGTAACCGGAATACTGTTTGAGAATAAAGTGGATTACGCTACCTACTTTAGTCCAAAAGTCGGTGAGTACTTATTTTTTTCTTTTTGATTCTATATGAAAAAGATCTAATTCATTTATCTTTGGGGACAGAGTGTATACATGGAATTCAGATGTTACCTGCGACTCCAATAACCCCGTACACGCGCTCAAGAAATTTTGTAGGTGTTTGTGATACTTCGTCTGTTTCATTCTTCACCTTGTCATCCATTTACATATTTTCAAATTTGTAAAAAAAAAAAAGATAACCCAGGAATGGAAACAAAAGCTTGTTGCAATAGTCAACTCCGCGTCTGATTCGTGGAAGAGCATTCTGTACGTTAACTACGCTCAGATAAATCCCGAGGAAGCATATCAATTCTTTTTAGATAATCCGGATATGGTGTTGGACGATGGATTATCAAGAACATGGGCGCTGTTTTGGAGTGCTGTTGGAGGTGGCAATGTTGAATACTAAACTCGATGGTCACACCTTAAAACCAACCAAACTCATGGTTTACATTTAACCCTGTATACGTTCTCTCCACAGACTTACGTGTTTTATTAAAGTCAAATTCGTGTCAGTCACGCGTAACGTGTGCACGATTTCATTATGATGCGTAATCGTACAATTATTGTTGTTACAGTATTGAGAGTGAACCTTTTTAGACATTCGCTTTCGTTATGTGAAAATATCGTGTATGCGCCTTAGTTATAGTGCAAGTTATAGTGCAACTTCAATGTCTTCCCACATTCAAATGCAAGTTCACGTGGTTTTTGATAACGAAGACTTGGCATTTGTAACACGGTTAAAATAGCGAACTTTCCCTTTTTTGAAAATTTCGTATGCTACATGACAAAGAGTACATTTCTAAAAGTATGTTGTGTGAAATTTGTTTATGATACGTCGAGAAGGAAACCTCGAGGCTATTTAGCCTCATTTAGAATATGATTGCAATCAATTATCGTACAGTATGTAATGATTTATGACTGAGTAATCACATACTTAAAGTACTAATTATCAATTAATTAATGACATGATTTGAGCTTTAACATATTAGCGTTAGTAAATCATATTCACCACTTTGAATTTTAGTGTAAGGGAAACACGACCTGTTCTGATACGATATATACAATATCCAAATTTGGCACCATGGCAAATACTGTACAATCTTGCACCAGTGAGTAACACAAAGGCAAATCGAGATGACAAATACGTATAATTTTTCTACATGGAAATGTATCACACTGTTATGCGTACT